ATCAAATAAAAATAATTAATATCGTAATTTCATCACAATATACGATAAACGTGTAAACAGCTTAAATGCCGTATTAATTTTTAATGAAAATCTATCATCATGATTCGGGTCACCCACGCGTAAAATTAAATCATTGTTTTGTTTGTATATATAAAAAAAAATATTTAAATATGATAGTGATTCGTTGCCATTTATGGAATTTGAATAATATTATAAAAGGTAGGTAATTGCGTGATTTCCATAAATTATATTTTGCAATTAAGTTAAATATTACTAAATAGGTAATACTAACAAAACAAAAAATAAAACAGATCTGCTAACTAAGATAAACATCTTGCATCATGATTATAGGTTATGTATTGCTTTGATTTCAACCTGCAATTTCAAACAATTGAAATTAAATAAAAACTTTTCTAAATTATTGTGCGAACAACATAATATTTACTTTTAACGACAGTATTTAGGTATAATCATTTTAAGTATATTTCGAAAATCACAATAATCACATTCCATTCACATCTACACTATGTGAATAAAATCATAATGTCGAGTTAGATCGGACACATCGGTGCCTGCCTATTAAATGTGCGACGCGTTTCGAAATATAGTGTGAAAAATATAAATACGACGTATATAGACTACAACTACCGAATCGGTTGCGACGACGATCGTGATTCGTGACCGTACTCGAAACTTTCTACTCTAGTCCTCTCACGGAAGTCGATGGTGTGTTTTTCTTTTTTTTTTTGTAAATAATATTGTTACGTTTTGACACCCGTAGTCCATCAGATTTTTCTCACAACACTCGAACACATAATAATAATACATACAAAATATACATAGGTACAGCGCATATAGTAAATAAGTTAAGTTGTAGAAATTGTTGATGTTATTAAATTGCTGCGTTATTATTTTCTTTCATAATTAATAGGTAACCATAAACTATTCGACTGCATAAATTATGTATACCTTAGTGCTACAGATTATTACGATACTCTTTTTATAGGAAATGTAATAAATGTTCAATGAAATGCTATTATTTACGTACCTAGCAGATGCGTGAACAGAAACCATCCTAAAATTATTATTCAAACATAACAATATTTTGTTGATAAACATATTTGTATACTTGCCTATATATTTTAAAGTTATGTGAATTTTAAAATCAGAACGCTTTTTCCTTTTCATAATTTTGAATTTTAAAAGAGTTATAAGTTATAACGCATAATATAATATTTGTTATGTATATTAAAGCATTGTAACTAATATTATACCTTATAATATCTGTAGCGTTCAGTTTACTTGATGGTGTATACATTATTTTCTAGAAAAAGTTAATATAAAAATATTTAATATATTCCAGAACCAGGTACGTGTATGAGTTTTAAAGTATTCTAATATGATTATTCTAATATATTTTATTACTTGAATTTGTTTAGTTATTTAAATTAGATGACCTAAAATATTTTAGAAAAATATATTCGGCATGGTTGAGTGGGATGAGGCGATAGTGTTAGTGATCGAACCTCGAGGATGGTTCGAAACTCTTACTCGATTTACAATATAGTAGTTTGTTTGATTTTTTATTTACTTTTTACATATACGTTCTTAAAATTAATTTTATAAAAATATTATGATTTCAGATAATGCCTCGTGATTATTTAAAAATGTATCTCGTAACAGTAAAATAAAATGGTTATTTAACACATTTTTTAATAATTTTCGATTTTTTACGATCTACCCAAACAAAATCGAACGATTACATAAATAAAAAATTGTTACCTAATAATTATTAGGTGTCATCAATACTAAAATATCTATTTAATATACACACGTATTATGATATTATCGAGAAGAAGTTTCGTGACACTGCTTGTATCCATCTAAAGATATAATTTAATACCTACCTATTATATGTAGTAATATTTCCTGATACATATTTTAATATAATATTATAAGCTATAGCATCAGTGGCGTTGCTGCACAACATCCATGTAACATGTGCAAGTGTACGAAATGTCCGCGTATTATAATACATCTACCATGGATGAAAACGAGCAAACAGAAATAGCTATGTGTAGTCTTGTTTTTGTCGTGGGTGTAAAAAGTAGTAATGAGTTCTTCTCTATTTGTAAACCGGTGTAGGCTGAACATAATAATATTATATTATTGACTATTACGAAATGTCGCCTTGCGGTTAAAGTATAGAGTATATACTGGACGCCGCATGCTGTGAAAATTATTGTCGGTGACGTAAATTGAACAAATATAATAATATTATACTAAAGGTATGTGAATATTGTGTACACACATAGGTGTTTCTATACTGCCTTCATATTATATAAATATATTTTTGTAGTGGACAGATTGGAGGTAGGTAGATGAAAAGTAAATTTGTCAAAATATTACGAAATTGACGATATTATTATTAATTAGTGTAAGAAAGTGTAATTTATAAAATAAAAACGGATATTCGTGATTTCCCTTAAAAGATAAAAACCAATTAATCATTCTCTTATTATACATGACAATGGCTATGATATTAAATCATTGTATAACTGCCGTTGTTGCGTATAGTAATAATTTGAATTCCAAAACAAGATTGTAAAAACTATTTAATCTTATGTCCGTAAAAAAACCATAATTCTATTATATACAATTAATATAGGTCTCCAATAGTCTCCTATAGATACGTTATATTCCATAAATTATGGAAATACAATCAATACTTATTTAGAAAATAGTGATCCCGACATCTCACTATTGCATTTTTTTTTTTTGATGTATTTAAAATATGAATTTGTTTTGAGAAATTAAATATTTAGTTTGTCACTTTTGAGTGTTTCAATATTTATTTCACAAAAAAAACAAAACTATATTATACAAATTTAACAAATTTAACCATTAATAATTGTAACAATTATTTACATCATATCAGTGCATCTCGTTATAGATGATAGATATAATACATTTTTTTCCTGTTTTTATTATATTATTGGTAAATTTAGTTGCACAATATTTTCATGAGTAATATTTTGAACGTTTTTTGTGTAATAATTATAGGTACCTAATAAGTATTAAGTAATTATCCAAATCTTTGTTAATAATAAAGAATAAATAAATCATTAATAATAAAAAAATGCATTATTTCTAAATTTTTGTTCATAATTACTATATAATATTTTATAATTTAGCTTCAAGTTGTATAGTATTTTTTGTAAATTTTAATAATTGTATATTCATTGATATAAGTTTATCACCGTTAAATTGTGTGTAGAAGTTGTTAAACAATAAAAGAATGTTTTGTACTGACTTATTGCGTTAAAAAATTACTTTTATTCCAGCTTCCTGGATTTTAAGACTAAACGTGTTTTAAGAGTCGAGTTAATCCTTCAAGTACCTATAATATGTTTATAAACATTAATTAATAAGTATAATAACTTGATTTTACTCAGTATTGTTACGTTAGTCAAAAATGCATTTAATTCATATATTTTACATAATATTATCGTTTTGTTAAGTCTGAATAACATTTAACTACTATTTGTGTTACGAATATAATATATTACATTCTAGAATATTAACATAATATTATACTCGTAATGTATTTATTCGTTTAGCTTTTAAAAAATATATTTCCAAACAAACTTTTGAAATAGCTACCTGCAGTACACGTTTATTTGAACGTGGATGAACTACAAGTTTCGTTCTCTTCAGGCTTGACTTATGTGTGTATATATTTTATAAGTGTGCGCGAAATGACACGTAAATCAGCTCCATTGACTATCGAGTCATTCTAGTGTATGGGTATACGTTGAATACACAATGAAACAATACGCATTCTCAGTTTTTAACAACATATATAATACATTTTTTCACTCTGTGTATACAATTTATAGTCGCTTATGTTATTCTGAATAAATCGTAGTACTACACCATACTACATGTCTACATAATACCATAACTTATATCATAAACCAGTCGACTGCAAGATAAGATAGAAAAACTTCTATACGGAAATTTCGTATTTGCGCAGATCCCCGTGTGGATTTGAAGAAATGTTCGCTAGGACTTCTTGAAAAGTTTAGATTCACTTGGTGTATGTTCATAACAATAATAGATTATAATATATTATGTATTATAGGTATAAAGGTTCAAAAAGAATGACAATACCGTAAATAAACGTGGAAATATACGTAGATATATAGTATATGCATTTTCAGAGAGAATAGGTTCTTGGACGGGCAAATACCTTAAAAGGCACTGACCAGAAAAAATGTGCATGTACCTACCCATCAAAGGTGTACACTGTACGCATAATATGTTGTGTGGTTATAATATGGTTTGCTTTGTCTTGTCCGGTCAACTATGACTGATTAAATTATCCACCACCGTACTGTAATAATTACCGTCATCGACAATTTGTGAGCCAAATCTTTATCGTAACCGGATGATTAATAATATTATGTATCAGATCGAGATATTTTGTTAATTTATATAACCAAAACCAAAATATTTCTGTTGATAGAGGAATATATATTCAACTATTGGGTGAACTGTAATTTTAATATTTTATATTATCTCTACTTAGGTATTATCTTTATACACGATTATAATATTACTTACTTTATTAGACTTACTTCAACTATGGTACATAATATGCTTGGATAAAATATAAAAAGTGATAAGTAAAACATAACAAATAATACATGTAGCTATAATGATGTCAAAATAGTCCAGAGTCCGCTGCCCTAATGATAGGCTTATAGTAAGCACGTCATCGTACTTAACAAGCCCTCCGAACTGCAAATCGATAGGTAGACGTGTTTGAAGAAACAAAAATCCGATAAAATAGAATAATTCTATTTTTGTATTGTAAAATTGTAATACTTTTGATATTTATATAATACAGTGCTCAGCGACGACAAGACATCATGCCATTCCTATTTACCGTTTTGTTCGTACGTACTAATTAAATGTACGAATGTTTTTATTTTCAGCTCGCCATTTTGGGAACAGTAGCGTCCAAAATTGACGGAGGATGGGATACGGAGCCGAACACACAGTACCATATACAGACGGACGAGGGGCCCGAAAGGTATTTCAAGTATCAGACCATTAGTGGTCAGTACCGTAAAGAGAGGCGACTACAAGATGGAAGCGTGGTCGGAACGTATGGCTGGGTAGACGCAGACGGGTATTTGAGGCTCAACGACTACGTAGCCGATTCGAAGGGTAAGTCCGTGACACGTTCGGTATTTTTTTTCTCGCGTTCAACTCATAAAAATAAACAACACACCACATTTTGAAATTTACGCAATTCTTTGTAAGCGTATTATAAATAATTATATTTCTCGAATATTCTCGATAAGCGCATGTATGACGATGGATTTACGTAATTGGAATAACACTTTTTTTTTTTAAATCGTGACTAAAGTGTAATAATTTTAAACTAAATTAGTAGAGTGTAATATATTATAATATAGTATACTCTAGACTACTATAATGCATACAATATAATATACTGTATACATTAGTTTTTGTGGTATATTCAAGACTCGAGTGTTGAAAATGTTTTTACAACAGTATTGCATTATAGTGCACGCTGCACGTTTTGTAATCTGTTAAGATCTTTTCGAGTTAGTTCTAACCATAATTTTGGGTCAGTTATCGTTCATACTTCTCCGCTAAACATGCCTCAAATCTAATGTGGTTCTGTTTATCTATAAAAACGTGTAGTTTTCTTAATATTTATATAATTACATTTAAAAAAATATAATCCTCTTAAAATTGTTTTTGAGATCAAAAGTTTATGAAATTAGAGTAATCGACTACCATTATGTAGGTACATGACTTGAGTTAAACTAGTTATTTTTTCATAATGCCCCGTAATTTGTTGGGAATTCGCTTAAGCAGTAGACATTTACTTTCCTCATTCAAACATATCTTCGTTACTTTTGTACACTATTAATTATTTATTTTAAATTCGACACCAGTTTTTTTAAATTTCATTTGGACGCCTGTCAAAAACAAAAACACGTTTTATTGTTAAACAACAATATTGTAATATTATTACAAATTATTTATTTTTAAATTTATTATTATTCGTTACTATACGCGTTAATGGATCAAAATGATATGAAATAAATAAGATCTACATTACTATTAATTGTATTTATAAAGCTAATTTACAATTTAACTATATACAATCAATATATGGTTTATTCAATTATTGCTTAGAATCTAAAATATTTATACTTATTCACTACCCAGATTTCACAGTTAACACTTCCTAGTTCCGATCCAAAAACTCCAAAACTATATTTGGCTTATTGTTACGGCGATAAACAAATTATTATTCTTATTGCTGTTCATTAAATCGCATACTGCAATAGTTACACACACCACGACAATGTAATAAAATTACTAAAAGTGCAATTCTATTTAAATTGGCTTGAATGCTAATGAGTAGATGGAATGTGCTCTGAATATGTGCTCTATTACATACAAAAACTAATTAAATAATTTTCCAATTAAAATAATATAAGTAGGCTGTAGGAGGCATACTTATCATGATCCGTCAGTCACAATTATTTAAATTTATAAGCCTTATAAGTTGTTAACCTCAATGTTCTAAATAGATTATTTTTATTTTTTATAATACACGAGTTATTACATTTTCACAACAATATGTTGTAATTTCATAGTAAAAGTTATTCAAGTGCGCACACATCATACACATTTTATGTAAATTTACAAAGAAATATTTATGAACACTGAACACTGTAGTAACAATATTAGATTCTTAACACTATACATCCTGCAAGAAACCTAAATATTTATTGGATTGATTTATCAAATTAATTGTCTAACCTTTTTAGTATTTTTAAATTTTTAATCGTTAATTTATTTAATTATTTTCGGTGAATGTATATATTTCATGTGTAATACATATTATCCAACTAAATAGTATCTTCGATAAAGGCTTCATGTTAAAATATAATAGTAACAAAATTCAATTAAAAATAACCATGCTTTATGCACTAACTACGCATACTTACAATTTTGATTATAATATTATTATATGTTTAGCAACGAACGATTCATTTATCCATTAAAATATATTATACTTAAATCAACATTCGTTTTTATTTATACGAGTACATAAAGTATTTTAAAATAAAACTAGTATAATTTTCAAATAAATATCTTTAAATTTAATACAGCATTTAGGTATAGCTACACTGTTTTTATATGAATCTAAAAAGTATTATTTATTTTGTTTTACTTTTTACTATAATTTAACATTTTACCGATGTGATAATAATAGGTATTAGGATCAAGATTTACATCAGTTGACATGTAAATGAGAACACTATAAATACAAGGTATTTCGATGGTACTTATACACATCATAGTCATAAATTAATATACGAAATATACACAAAAAATAAATTAAACAAAATAGGTACAGCTTTTTAATACGTATTTCAGTTATAATGGAAAAAATTATAATACTTATTTCTATGTTATAATAATCTGTGGGAAATTGATTTTCGTACCTAGCTATTAAAAACCAGATAAATTGGACATGAAAAGTCACAAATTTTTATAATGTTTCGTATAAAAATCGAAATATTTTTAATATCACTCGAGATTAAAATACCTATAAATAAATTTAAATTTAAATCATCAAATTACTATAACTTACAGGTTAACCAATACTTGATGGATCTAAACCAATGTTGACAAACTAAATTTTAGACGTATATACTTATATTATAATTATAGGTATCTAGTAACAGATACATACTAAATTTAATTTAATTTAATTTAAAAATAGATGTTTTAGAAACTGCACCACAGATAGACGTTTACCAATAACAATGAAAAACGTATTTTTTTTTTATAAACATAAGCTAAATTGGGAAACTCGATTTTAAACCAAATAATTATGAGTACAATATTTATTATTAAACGTTGTACGAATTAAACTTGCTTTTGACGGTGAAAAAATACTACAGCGTACCTAATTATCATTTTCGATTTTATACACATCGTTAAGTGAAAATTAAATTAAAGCCTCAGGCTTTAAAAACTGTTTCAAGTCCCTTTGTTATAATCTGCTACCTTATAGTATAATGTAAAAATAATGTTGTTTTTTAAATCTAACGCTTATATATATAAATGTTTAATCGGTAAAAATATCACGAGTTAATATATTATGGCCACTTTATATGGTAGGTACTTACTAAAAATGGAAGACGTAATTTCAGTATTATACGCTATATTATGTTACGTGTGGGATGGGCGGAAACGAAAAAACTTGTCCAACATAACTATAATATATTTACCTATTTTTTGACGATTTTTATAACACCGCAGCAGTATTACGCTTTTATGTTGTATTACCTATTTATAACTTATATATATTTTTGTCATTAATCTTATATATTATTTTATACTAAAAATAACTATTAAAAATTTTTTATTCAAAAACTATATTCAAATATTTGCCTTTTAAGTGGAAATGTATTTAGCTATACGAGACACACACATATATATATATTATGTACACGAAGTACTTTATAATGGCATAAATCAAACAAGCCTTCGGAATTTTTTTTTTTTTGGGGGGGGGGTCTCAAGTGTTCCTACTTTCCTTACACACAAGTATTCACGATTTAACGGATAACTTTTTTCTATAAATCTAAAAATATTTTGCAACGAAATAAATGATCGCCGTAAATCATATCAACGAGTACAACCATTAATAATATGTATAGGTATCTAGATAACAACTGTTATCTAACATAATAAACAAATTTTAAGCAAATTGTCATCAACCATCATTGTAATATATTTGTGATAAAACAATATTATATGCTATAATACGGTATGGTCTAATAAAAAAAAAAATATATTTTTGTGGACTTCCAGCCCCCGCGGGTGTGCCACTGGTATTTTATAAATTCAAATCGGCATCACAAGGAGATCTGAGAAAAACAAAATCGACATTCAAATTGACAATATCGTTACGTTTCAATTGTATTACATTAGAACAATTTAAAGTCCTTTAAACACCGACACAAATATGACTTTATTAAATTACTATAATTCATTTAAATTATTTTATCCGACTGAACAAGAAATCACACCAAAACAATATCAGGGATGCAGGGGGGAGCGTAAATCTTTTCCATAGCATCACCAGTGGTTCACCACTGACTACATAATTATAATGACAACGATATACAACATATACTAGCCACTCCTGTAGGAATGTACATTTAATACATTTGCAACCTTGTAAAAATTGGCTTTGTATAAGTCTGATTAACATATTTTGTCTCAAGCTGCATTATTCACTTAACTTTCTGATACTATTCAGTTATAAGTATATTTTTCGCACTTCAGCCATTATCGTGGAATCAGCAATATCGATATTATTATTACTACTTATACACGTATTATATATAATATTTTTCTTAATTGTCTAGTAACTCAAATAAAAATTAATTGAAAATAATTTTGCAATTAATATTTTTGAATTTGAATTCAATTAGTAAGTAGAATAACCATTACCTAATCTGTGTCGCAGGTTACAGAATAGTGAAGAACAAGAAGCTGTTCGTCGGCACCCAGACACCCGTCAGTCAAGCCGTGTCGGCCGCCAAGTACGTGCCACCGATAGCTGGTACAGCCGTATCGGTGTCGCCGTACCGGTCAGCCACGGCCACGATCGTCACCAGGCCGCCGGCCGTCGTAGCGATCACCCAAGCACCGCCCAGGGAATCGTCGTGGCGCGGTTCACCATTCGTGTACCCGTCCGACACCCAATCTTCGCCGTTGCGGTTCCCAGCGGCCGGGTCACCATCGCGTTCAGTGGCGTCTCAGTTCCGACGGCCGCAGCCGACCAGCACAGCGTCGCCCGTAGCCGACTACTATTCCGTGCGGCCAGTGGACATCAACTCGATCGCGGCCACATCTGACGGCGGAGACGGCGACGTCGACGCGCAACGACCGTACAGACGACGTTCGTCGTCGTCCACCGCGGCCACGGCCACGGCGTCCACGGCCGCGGAACAGCAGCCGCTGTACGAACAACCGTTACGGCCGCACACGTTCCGGCCCGCGTACCGCAAGGTGGTGGACATGTCGGCCAGGACGACGCCGGGACCGATGGCAGAACAGGAGCAGTACGACGGCGTGTCGTTCGTCCGGAACGGTTTCAAGTACTATCTGCCCCGGCACTATCACGAGGAACAGTCGGACGACTCGGGTGACACGCGCGCCGGCAGCTTCGGTTACGTGGACCCGTTCGGCATCAGGCGGGTGGTTTACTACAACACAGCGCCCGGCACTGGGTTTGTGCACCGCAAGAACAACCGTTACGTGGGTCTCGACGCCGAGCCCTACGACCCACGTCCATCGAAGTGATCGGGCCACGGGCCCACGCCGACGACGGGTCCTGTAACATGAACTGTTGGTCGTCGTCGTCGTCTTCGGATTGGCCCACGTAACACGCGTGTACATTATATTATACAGCAGAACCATAACAAACCATAACCCCGAGCAGCCGGTCGCAGGGGGATGCGCGCGCATATGGTAATAATAATGATAATATCGTAGCCATGATATTATATTATCTATCTTTGCGTCACGTAATAATATTATTATTATGTCGTGGATGATGACGGTTGTATTATTATTATTATTATTATTATTACGCACACGAGCCATAACACAAATTTAAAGAATCATCATCCCCTCCTCCTCCGGTGCAGCCACAGCGGCGATGCTCGATAGGTACCGATATAGGTAGGTAGTTGTAATGATTAGTGTTAAATTTTTATATTTTTTTTCTGCGATTCTCTCGCCCCTCTTACTACAATTTTCTTTTGTCGCCTATATATAATATTAATGATAACTACTACTATAATAGACGTCGCACGCAGGGCGTTATAATACTAAGTAGAAAAACTCGCAATTTATTAGAATATTATTATAAACTACACACTCGGAGACAATCGGTGGGCGTGCGTTACGACTGGAGACTTGATGCGAACCGCACAATAAAATACGCAATAGGTAATAATATATTATGTGTAATTATTTTCAAGACATCGCCATTAGTGTCGCCGTTCAACGGTGACGATAACCGGTATAGGCTGAGTGTAGACTATATTACTATATTGACACTGCTATAATCTTAGTGAATAATAATTAATTTTTAGCTCTATGGGTACGCAGCGCCCAGTGGTGTATTGATAATAAGGTGTTTAGATGAAACAGCTAATTGATCGCCGATATACCGTGTGTCCACAAAAACAGAGTATACCGAAAAATTTAAGTTGTCCCGCATGCTCAAGATTTAAAAATTGTTCTTCATAGAAATTGTATGATCCAATAGTTGTTTAGTCTCATGTCCTGCAAATAGAATTCAAAAATACGTAGGTATAGAGGGTACTGAGGAGAAGTAACTGAGTTATAGCAGAGTTTACCTCGGTTTTGTGGACAAACGGTACTTTAATATTTTGTCAGTTACTGCGCAGACAGCCAAGAATCGTTCTACGGACATTTTATAGAGTTTAAAAAAAATTGGAACAATATTCTTATTTTTTTTTTAAATGTATATCAATAAATGTATTGATTAGAACATATTCGTATTGTGTACCACCTGAATGATTTTCAAGCACACCACTGGAACGTTGCAGTACCTTTTAATGCATTATAAATGTATATGTTTTCATCAACCTAAATGCACGTTAATAATGCGGGTTATTAATTTAAGTCTCTTTTTATAACTATGCCTCAATCTCGATAATGTGTGTACAGCTAGTCAAAATGAGTATAACTTTAATTTTATTTATTAATTTAACGATCGATATGTATTTTAATATCCGTTTACCGAGGCTACATTTGTATACAACTATAATAGATCAGCGTCGCCTGGTCAGAATTATCACGCAGGTATATTATCATAATATTATTTGGTACCCCTGAATACTATTATCCATCCGAGCTAATGTACTTATTTTTTTTCCTCTTTAATGATACATTGCCAAAACCATTCTCGTCCAGTCTGAGTGGACTTGAAACAATAGAATCACCAATGTTGAAACCCGTGAATGTAATAGGTACGAATCTCACAGATTGCACAACTGCGGGTGATTATTTTAGCCATTGTGTACCACAGCCAATAAATCTATACTCCATTGTCTACAATCGGCAAGTGTTTGCCATAGTAAATTACAATTATTATTTTATAGTATTATTTTAGAAATTCTTGTAAAAATGTGCCACGCAAGCGTGCTCAATGTTGAGCAAATATTAATTTATTTTATATGTTTAAATAAATAATTATTAAATTATACTAATATGTTACTAATATACGTACAAATCAGCGTTTGTGATTTTTTTTTTATATATACTATGTAGAAATCATAAAAATAATTAATTATAATAATAATAAAACAAAATGAATAATAATAGTAATAAACAAATATATTTATATATAATATAATATATATTTAATATTTATAGATAAAAAAATATAAATACAAATCGCACAAGAAGTGAGTTTTGTTTTGCAAAAATGTTTTTCTCTTTCTTTCTTTTCCTATTGTACATGAACGTAAATGCTGGGAAAAAATACGCGAGTCTATACATACAGCGAACGCACGTCTTATTGTATGCAAATGGCTATATATTTTATTGTGCACAACAGCTGTTACCCAGTAGAAAGTAAGCAAAGAGTCTATTACAGTGTTTGAATGACCAAACAGGCTGTCTCCTATTTTTGGTTTGAAAAAGTAAAACAGGTATAGGCTTAGCCCAAACTCATCATCATCATCGTCATAATCGCCGCATCCTTTCATCGGTATTCTAGAAGTTTTTTTCAGTACTTCACAATATTATGTTAATTTGATGATATTACGCTCGATTGAGATGCATAACACGCGCGCTAAATAGTATTATTATTTATGCGAAATCTGTGTGAAAAATACTCACGTTAAGTGATCTGACGTAGCAAAATAAATATTTGAATAACAATAATAACATACTATTATGCCTAGGTAGTCTTTATTTTGAATAAACTGAAGTCTGAAGTAAAAATATCTGCATAATAATATACTCTCGTTTAAATATTACCTTATATAGTATTATTGAAATATTACGATTAAAGATGGTTATTTCATAAAAAAAATAAACGTGCAGAAAATTAAGAGACAGAATAATATTTTGAAAATGATCCGGTCTTATTAATATTATTACGAAGACACACTTTCATTCGTTCCTTCGTAATTACACAGGGATCGGTAATCACTTAGTGATGGCAGTTTACGTAGGTAAATTGTATAGGTACCTACATTTTTTCATTTGTATATTTCGTTACCCCCTCAATCGTAACTGCAATTATATATATCGCCCTCGTAGTTATTCCTGTTTTGCGTGCACCCGAAGAACTCCAGAACGTTGATTACGATGCCTCTGGAGAATGGGTTGTAGTATTTGCCTCTGCTGTTTTTTAGGTACGTGTACTTTTTATGGTTGATCATCTCGTTTCTGGTCAAATTCATCAATGCGTTGATACACTGAGCAGAACAAAAAAAAAATAATAATATACAAACATGTACTTAAAACGCTGTTATAATTATCACACTTTATCCATACATAAAATATTAAAATGATACAGGTAAGTGCACGCAATTCATGTGAATATATTATTATTGATTGTATACTGATGTGTATTGTGTCCCTGGCAATACACCTTATGTTTTACACATTTTTGAAACATGACTTTGGAAACTATTACTTTATTAAAGATTCAATAACTTAAAGCTCAAAAATCAAATCGATATGTTAACCTCTATATGTTCATCTCAAAATATAATATTTTACCGTATATTAAAGTGCATAGGTAATTACTAATGACTAATATATTTAGCGAATTCATATAAATATCTTAGCGGTTGGATTATACATTATTTTATAGATTTTATTTTATATTATACATTGATTATTAAAAAATAGAACTTTTGAGGTAAATTTTAAAGTTTAGATAGAATTCTAGTGGATAAGTGCTGCAGTACCTACATAGAATTATGAGTACACTGAGTCAGTGAGACACCCGGACCCTGTATATAGTATCCCCTACGTATCCTATATGTGGTTATTATAAATGTACTTACGATCGTCGCAGTCAACGCCCAGCTCAGAACACCAAAAGCGAACGCTTGCAAAAGTGCCAAGACGTAAAAAACGTTAAACCCGTCTACGTTGATCGTGCAGCACACCAAGTAAATCACGTACGAACAGTTCATTGCTAGGCTGATGACAAACCAGAAGAACCATGACCTATGAACAAGTCCAAACAAGCGTATATAATATGTAACCTGTTGATTTAATTTGCAGTAAAGGGATTTAATGTACTTATTGATACAAAATACTCACAAATATAAATATACAAAATAATGAAACCTTACTAGAGGAATTAGATTTTAAATATTGTAAAAAAAAAGTTTTTTACCAACTATAGATTATTGTAATATTATATTTCTACAAGAAATATTCTATGTACCCTATATCAGTGGTTACCAAATGGCGGCTCACAAACTAGAAAAAAAGCAAAAACTTTTAGTATTATACGTTCTAGTGTACCTAATTTATATTTTTGGTTCATTGGTTTTTATTGACATTTGAAATTTTGATGACCCGTGAACAATTCTAGATGCCTTATGTGGCACTTCAAAATTATTAATTAGTGACCTCTACCTTTTATAATATCTATCACTGTATCATCTTAGTTATAGAGATCAATCATGGGCAAGGTATCCTAAACGGGGTTGCCCGGTTGGGCAACATTTCTAAAACAATTTATACACATAGGGTTTAAGGAGTCTCACAACAAACTAACTTGGATATTTAAAGAATTAAATACTCTGGTCAAACTTTACCTGTTGCTGAGTCCGATGCAATTGATAACAAATTGACAATGATGGTCAAAATGTTGGACGCATCTGTTACACAATCTGCAATGTTTAGCTCTCAAAGGTCTAACGCAACGACACGTATGACAAAGTCTTGACAGAATATCTCTTTTGGTACCCATATCACACGGATAAAACGGTAACTAAATAAATTTGAGAAAGCGTTTGTAAAATTATAAAAAATTGACTTCAAATGGTATAATATATTTTTGAATTAATTAAAACATTATTAATAATGATAAAAAATATATTTTATTATTATTAATTACATATTATTATACTTAAATGCGGGTATTATATAATTTTCAAGTTGGTTTTAATTAAGTGTATTACATTACTCTGATTAAGTCATCAATCATAATAGTATAATTATGTTAAGATTTCACGAACATTTGTCACGTCATGTATTGTTTCCAAATTTGTATAGGTAGGAACAGCTTTAATTAATAAATGTTATACGTAATACATTAAGAATCATTAGGAATTTACATGGTAGTATACGTCAACTATATTTCTATTTATGAATTCTACATACGATTATATAAAATGAATAATTACAGTGGAGTACCCAAGGGAGGAGGACGAACGGAGCTTCAACTCACTCCATTGGTCATGTTCTGGTAAAAATCTTATATAATATAAGGCAAAGTACAAACCATGATATTTCTGAAAGCAGTTTTGAACAAATATTTTGAGTATTATTAATTATTTATCGAGGTTACGGGATATAGTTATAACTTATAGTTTAAGGTAATGGATATTGTCAAATTCTGATTAATTTTGCTTAGCCCCTTCCTATCATTGAAACTTGCTAGGTACGCCACTAGATAATAATATAATTACACATGTTATTTGATAAATAAAATTACTTGTCTAATGGTTTGAATGTAACTCCCTGAGTCGATTGGTAAGAATCCAGGATCTGAATGTTTCGTAGTAATCCAACATATCCACATGAAAATATTCCAGGCTAGATAAGTGTAGTGGCAACCTCTCGTTAAGTTCCACGTAGCAGGTACTACCTATAATATAGTCACATAAGACTATTAAAAAACGGGACATACATTTTACGGGTAGTTGAAAACACTGTCTCACTCTATATATGTAAAGAGGATACCACCAAATCAAGAAGGAACATAGAAATAGCAGCAAAGGCCCTTTTGAATAGGCTGAACTTCCAAAAATTGCATTTCTATAACAATATTGGTTAGGTATTTACAATGCATATTGCAAAATATCACATTGCATATTTTATAGTGCAATGTAGTAATCTTACAACGCTTTGTGGAGAGGCACCATCCATTTCTTTCTCTTCTTGATCTCTCTGTTCAGCAGCCCAGCGATGTCCTCGTACCTGTGGTTCACGGCCAGGCCCAACGGCGTTTTGCCATTTTTGTCCCTGGGTTGTAACGATATTTGACTCTGTAACGGATAACAGGAGAATATCCATATAAATTATCGACAGTCAATCAACGATGTTTTTTTAGTTGATCAATTTTTTTTCGCACATTCTGACAAAGTATTTCAACACATTTCGCACTTCCGGAAAGGGCCGCCAAGTGCAACGGCGTGGACCCAAAATTGTCAGCTTTCGTCAGGTCAGCTCCAGAGTACAACAGCAACCTTATCAATTCTGGGTGACCTTTGTAGGAGGCCCAGTGTAATGCTGTGTCACCATTTATGTCGGTTAGATGGTGCAGAGCACCCATGCCCAACAAAAAACTCGCCGTGGACGTTTTCCCAAACATGCTAGCGGTCATCAAGGGTGTGAGGCCTTTGAAGTCCGATACGTTTGGGTTCACTCCGGCCTTCAAAACATAATAATACCAGAGGTACATATAAACATATACGACGACGTAATTATGCAGGTGCTATTATAAAGAGTCAATTCTTTTTTGCCCATGGCGTTCCATCACGCCCATCACGGTAGTAGTTAACAATCAATTACTTAAGCGTAGGTACTTAATCAAATAAAATGTAATTTAAATGTAATGTAGTAGACGATAATACATTAATTCTAGGTTTTATATAGAACCTAATATAAAAACTGTATGTATAAGTTATTAAACCAAACGATATTTAACTAATATTCCAGCCAAATAAATATTTTAATGACAATTGTATATTATAAATTATTGCACCTACCAGTAACCTATTATATTATAATATATTAAATGGTTATATTTTTAATAATTACAGTAATACAATATTTAATTGAGTAAGCATGAATTTATTAGTCTACTAATTAATTATACCAGTGTACTTTCCAACTTCTGTGTATTTTAATTTTCCGAGAATACATGAAACAAGTATAAAATTAAATAATATCTACAAATGTTCATTAATTATTTTTTCTTATTTACTTATGAAATGTTTAGGTAAACATAGATTTTTTTCATTAAAAATGTTTGACATAACATAATATATTTTAATTTTAAATATCAACTATAAATATTACGGGTACCTTATATTATATACTATAATGTGATAATTTTTTTTTTCACTCACGAAACATACATTAAAAAAAACACATTTAAACATTCTAATATAATATATAATAATATTTTATATTTCATTAATCATTTAATATAATTGAATCGTGAGTCGTGATTTTTAAAACTTTTAATTAGTATTATGATAAATTACATATGTAAAAATATTGTTTAAATAATAATCGTATTATATATTATATTATAGTATTGTGTACTATATGGGTTTGGTCTAAATTCTTATCTGTCATCTTAGTGGCCTTTCAAGGTTATCGAAATATCAACGATTTACATTTGAGATGTTATGAATGTTATGTTTTATTTTTGTATACCTACATGCAATTTTATTTTATGGGTCATGGTTTTTGTATCATCGAATAATAAATTATTCACGAAACTACTAACGTGGATTATTATTATACTACAACTATTATTAAATATTACGCGGGTTACGTAAAGTTAAAGGTATCTCTTAATTTGTATATTGTTATTATAATTATATAGAAAATGATTGTCATTGACAGGTTAGACTGTCTGTGTATTTTCAGCAGTTTTATAAATATTAAGGTACCCGACATTCAACGTTCAAAACGAGTAAATAAGTTTCCATATTATGTGATGGTGAAACGGTCGACTTCATAAGTTATAACTTGGCAATACTTAGGTATTATAATAAGAAAATATTATTACGAACAATCTATTATTTACAGGAATCATACATTATAGTTTATTATACATTAATTCTGGGATGTCACTACGTACAAGGTTCTCAAAGTAGTACCTAGATATAACGAGTTCGAAACTATTATAGCAATGTTTTAACTATAAAACAAAAATATAAATTCGTTGTGTACAACAATTATTGGTTCATAAAGATTTAGGTAGGTAAGCCAAAGGAGTTCACAGGTAATTTTAATGGTGGTGGTGAGATTATAAGTGTTAATACATTTAAATCAACTGTGGTGTTAGTACCAAAGACACAAAATATGAACTTTATGATGCAATTGGGAGGGGGATATAATCACTAACATCTACCCTTGGAGACAGGTAATTAAGAGTTTTAAAAATCAAATCAAGTCAATAAATTTGTTTATTCTGTGGACATATAATGAAGGTAATTCACCGAATTATTGACTTGTATTTTATAAGATAGATTTATAAGATAAATTCTTTACACATCGTACGAACGATCGGACTTTAATAATGCCTACTTAGATAGGTAATGCTATTGTTCTGTATATTAAAATAAAATACAACAGAAATGTTTAAAAGATAAAAGTAATTAAATATAGGTACATATTTGAAACTTCTCAATTATTTACTTTTATGAGCTATTATGAAGTTCATACCAAAAACGTAATAAAAGTGTTCCCAATTTACTTTAAAAAACACTTGCGAGCGTATACTTAGTCAAATAATTTCACACGGTCTCAAACTCAATTAAAAAAAAAAAAACGATTTCACCGTATAAGAGAGCATTTTCTGAGTTTTGTATGGCCATAGTTATTTGTAGCTATATTACTAAATTAGATCACCATTTTATATTGCACATATTTTCCTCGCTGCACAATGTGTATGTTAGTCGGCGCTCAGCAGCAGTACTGTGTATCATTATTAAAAAACAAATAACTAAATAGGAATCTATTCTCGAAACCTTCAGCTTAAAGTACAAATTCGTGCATGACGATAATATTATAATTTATAATACAAATAATATGATACTATAATAATTCTTTTAAATCTATCCGTACGTTTATTTACGCATATCATGTGTTGCTCTAAGTGGCAGATTTTGTCACATTGATAATTTTCAAACAACCGAAGAGTAGGTATACGAAAAAAATTAACCGATTCTTTCGTCTCGCAATTCAGGGTAAACTTATTTTAAAAAGTATATAGGTATCTCGTATGCCTTGGTTTTTAGAAAACTGATGCAATAGCTAATAATAAATAAAAAAATGTATAATAGTCTACATTATTATTATTATTATTAATTATTGTAATTAAATGTACTGCAGGTAAAATTAAAAATGAAGTGATTATTTTTTTTTTGTTTAATCAAGCAATATGTAATTAAAATTATTTTTAAATAAAAATTGCCTAATCATAATGCACTGAGCAAAAAAAAATACATTTCAGTGGAATATATTTTTATTTTGTAAAAGATGGTCAGTTATTACTTTATTATCTATACCATTTTAAAATATTTGTGTAGCGAATGATCTACCGTTTGATTGTAAGTGTATTTGGTGATCTATCAAATTTTATAAATGTTTCTTAACAGTTGCCTTCACATTTATTTTTTAGTATGCCTCTGATGGTACCATTTCAAAACTCTTAAATCGAATTCTTATCTAATCACAGCTGAGTCGTAGAGGTCAGTAAATAATAACAAATATATACTCATTCAATTTTTAATTGATATGCAAAAAGGTGTTTTGCATGATCAAATATTATAATGGTAATTGTATTTTATTTTTATTTTATGGTAAGGTTTCTTTGTATAATCCTTCATAATTAATAAAAATATAAATTATAATAATTAATAATACATTGGATGTATTCAAATTCTCTGACACATCCACTTATAATAAATCAGTATAAGATCTACTCCCCGCTGTAGATCACAGCTGCTACAGGAATGCTAAAATAGTTTCACAAGCACTGTGTGTGACCCAGCCACCCAGGCCTCGGTAATTATTACAATTAAGACTAGTAACTTTTTAGTTTTTTTTTCAACCGATAATAATAATTTCCTCCTGATTAACATATTGCCTAAACTGCCCATGACAATATCAGAGTTGAATACTATTATGTAGGTACAATATCGTTTGACGTTCAGTATAATAATTTGTTTGGCGTAGTTGACTTAACTCGGCCGAATCGAGTCGAATTTTTTCCGTTAACTTGCCCACACCGATTTACGATGGATGGACGGGCGGGAAAGTGGGTGCACAACAATATAACGTTGTATCGACACCAGTGGCAGAGCAATTTTTTTGAGTCTTTAAAGCAAATTGTACATTTTCAATATTTTTACCGCCAACCATCCCCTTTATTACACGAAAATGATAATATATTACGCATTAGATTGTATTAATTATGACAGTTATTGCGTTGAGGTGTTACAAAGTTACAATCATACCGCCCACCTATATTAGACATGAAGCAATTGCTTCAAATAGCCCTACATCCCGACGCCACTGATCGACACCCGCGTCTGTGACTGACCCACCCATATTATGTGCGCACAATACCTGCAACAGCACTTGGACGGCGGCCGTGTGACCTTTGCGGCATGCCCAGTGCACCGGCTTGGAACCTTGGATCCCGTAACACGACATGTCCACGGTCACGCCCCTGGCCACCAGGTACCTGAGCACCTCGGCGTTGCCGTAGAGCGCGGCCCAATGGGCAGGCGTGTAGCCCCATTCGTCCCGGAAACTGAGCGCCTCGCCACCACACTTGTCCACGGCGAACTCGAACCCGTCGTAGTCGCCGGTCTTGATGGCCTCCAGCAGAGGCTTGTACCGTTGGTCCTCGGAGCTGTGCACGTCCAGCGAATCGGCCGAACACCCGTCGTGCATGCCGTCGTCGTTGTTGTTGTTGTTGTTGTTGACGTTTATGTCGTCGACGTTGTTGTTGTTGTTGTTGTTGTTGTTGTTACCGTTGCCGTTGCCACCGGCACTGCCACTGCAGCCACTGCTCACCATGTTACGTAGCGCAGTGTTATTGATTTTTTTCCAGCGTATCGCGTCGCCCGCGGAAATAATATTATAATATCGTGTAGTTATATTTTGTGTAAAAGTAGGTAGGTACCAGATATAAATATACTACAACTGTCCGGCGATTTTTAGGTAATGGTGCGAAAATATTATTTTTAAAAAAAACGAAAATCCCGTACGGTTCACTTGCGATTGGCCCGATGACGAAATAATAATAATAGTGTTTTAAAAAATAAGTTTTGAGCGACTCGCAAACGAATGTGTTGCCCGCGGGTCGTAGTAGGGTGGTGTGCCGAGGAGCGTGCGCGGATCGATTGTATAGTATCCGGCCGCCGCCGCCTTCGCCTCAGTTTGACCACTTTGCTACTCTTCGACACGATAATAATAATAATAATAATAATATATATATCACGATTCACGAGTTATTCCACCGCGGTGCAATGAAAACAACTTTAAAAAGTTCAAAAGAAAAAAACTTTACCAATAAGAATATACAGATGAACCCGTGTTTGTGCGGATCTGACAGGCTGAAGGATCACATAAGCTGTGGTGGGTTTACTCAATATTTTAGGGTAATAATATTTTATAACCACTGATCTTTGATATTTTATACGATGTCCCTCCAGCTCTTGGAGGAAGGTTTGTAAATATTTTAGTTTACAATAATATGCGTTTTGTTTACGTAGTTCAGATTATAATATGCACAAGGCGATAGTGCAGGCAACTCGTACACTCAAGTGGTAGTTATATTAACGTTTTAATGTATCAGGAGACCTCTGTTACTAATAAATTATAAGTAATGACTGATTAATAATATAATTATATTAGTATTGTGGTAATATTTCTTAGTGATTAATTTGTGACAATTTATGAGCTTCTATATTATTATACTCGTTGGTTCATGTTACCCGCTTTACACATTTAATTTCACTTTTTTTAATAATATTAACAATTTTTTCAATATTAATTTGCTTAATGTGAATACCAATTGAATAGATTTAGAGACTTAAATTTATCATAGAAAAGATTATTCTGAAAGCTGAAACATGATGTAAATTTTAAAATTATATTGTATAGTATTAAAATTATTAATTATATTATTAGGTAAAATTGAAAAAAGTGCCAGTGAAAACTATGTTTCCATAAATATATGTAAGTAATAAATAACATTGAAAAAACATAAGAAACAAATTGTGGATTTTTATTAAGTATCTCCTAATGAACACAAAAGTATTTAGTTGGTACTTGCTATTTGGTAATTACTTGTATAGTTATTTCTAATTTGATTACCATAGTTCACTATTTTACACAAGAGCTCAGGGGCGTGCCGAGGTGGTGGTTTTGGGGGTTATAGTGTCTCATAATCGTTTTTAGATTAGATAAAGAATAGGTATATATTATTCTTAATAATATCCGTCATTCCGACGCAGGTACATTAAAAATTCTGAAGCTTTTGATGCATTGGATTTGGCGTTTAAATGGTTTGAGAGGCAAAAAGAATCGAACACCAGTAATTATTTTATTTCAGTTAAATATATAATAAAATTATTTGTTTATG